TTTCGAAGACTGTAAATGGAATAGGAGGTACATCAATGACTTTCTCTCTGAAATCTAAAGTCACCCATATTGACCCTGCTGTAAGTACTGTGTATACCATTTGAAAAAATGTGAATGTTCCTGTAAATGATTCACACAATGTCTTAGATATATATGATAGGCCGAGTTGGCAGTAAAACAAAAATTCAAATTTGTGAAAAAAATTTCACTGTTTCAGCATTGGTTTCCATTCCTTACCAAAAAGAAAATTATATCTTTTTGACATAAGAATTAGAGAGACAAACTAACAATGTGAATGGTTGACCAGTTAAAATATGACCCTTAGTGCCTAGTTATTTTTGAAAATGTAACAAATTGAACTGGGGTCGCTACATCACTTACATGCTTTTTAACATCTTACACTTGGTGTTCAGTCCATAGCTTTGCAAGATGGAAATCTCTCTCTCTCTCTCTCTCTCTCTCTCTCTCTCTCTCTCTCTCTCTCTCTCTCTCTCTCTCTCTCTCTCTATATATATATATATATATATAACTTTTTTTCCTGTGGGCCAACAGAGTGATATCATCATGTCAGTCTGCGTCCCACCAGTCTCCTCCCTCCCTCTCTTCTCCCCTCTTCCCTTGTGCTCGGGGGGCGCTGGGGCTACCATGTCATGCCCTTGCCCCCTCCCCAGTGGCCGGCGGGGGAGAGCGCAGGATCTGGTGAGACCTCAACCTGGTCCCCTCCCCACCAGTGGCTGGGGGGAGAACGTAGGGTCACTGCCACTGGAAGGAGAGAGCTGGGGCTGGTGAGGCCTTGGCCGGCCTCCTCTCCCCAGGCTGCTGGGGGCGGGGTGAGCATGGGGGTCTGGCAAGGTTTCAGCCCAGCCCTCCTCCCCTCTGGCAACTAGGGGGAGAGTGCAGGGCCTGGTGAGGCCTTCGCCTGGCCTCCCTCCCCACAGTGCCTGGGGGAGAGGGTGGGTGCGATGGAGTTCAGTCAGAGAAGACTCTTTGGGGGTGCTTTCTGAAGTGCTGACACAGCCACCGCCACTCTCCTTCCCGCACTCTGGGGCTTTTCACCACCTGGTGCTGCTGTGACAGCTCTGCTGGTCTCCCCCAGCCAGGCCCCTGAACTGAGATCTCTTCCTCACCGAGAAGCAGTACAGATACTGAACCTTTTCAGGTCCAAGGGGAGTGCAGTTTTGGGCCCACCTTCGTAGATACCACTGCCCAAATGGGATCAAATCCCCCAGTGAATTATTTATGTAAGCGCCCGTTAGCAATTAAAGGGAGATTATACACACTAGATGTCCCTCCATGTAAGAATTATTTACACTGGGTTTGTTAGAAAATAAAAGTGATTTTATTAAGTACAAGCAGTTGGATTTAAGTGGTAATAAATGAGAACAGAAAATAGATTACAAATCAAAAGAAACAAAAATGCTTAGCTAATTTTACACTGAAACCTCAGTACAAACTTTTCAAACACACCTTAAAACCTCTTTTCTGGCTGCCCCTCTGAACCAGGGCTGTCTCCCCACTCTCGGGTCTTCAGCTCCTTCCTACAGGTGCAGCCAAACCAAAAGACCTCAGCCCCTGCTTTCCTATTCTTTTTTAAGGAACTGAGGCCACTCCCTACTAACCACTGCTGAGACTTAAGGACAAAAGAGATTGTTTAACAGTTTCTCAATGCCTCTCACTCACACATTTAAAAACCCACAAAGTATTCCCCACTCCATGTCTAATTTTATGCACAAAAATGATATATATGTCAACGTAGGATAAACAGAACTAGTGGATCATGACATGAAGATAGGTTGCATGAAATAATTTGCTCAATGCACCTTTGAGTTATGTATATTCATGTCCATAAGTCAATTTCATAAAGCATGTGGGGGGAAGGGAGGGGGTCCATCACAGCAGGATCTGGCATGGCCTCAGCCAAGGTCCCTGTCCACAGTGGCAGAGTGATAATGGGGGGCCTGGAAAGGCCTTGGCCTAGCCCCCTCCCCATCAGTCACCAGAGGGAGAGCTCAGGGCCTGGTGAGACCTCTGCTCAGCCCGCTTCTTCTCGGGTAACCAGGGGGGAGAGCATGGGGCCTGGTGAGGTCTCACCACAGCTTCCCCCACAGCCACTGGCCAGTGGCTGGGGGGGGGGGGGCCGGCCTCAGCCTGACCACTCTCCATCCCAGTGTCTGGGGGGAGAACGCAGGGCCTGGTGAGGCCTTGGCCCATCCCCCTTCCCCTCTGACCTCTCCCGCCAGCCAGTGGAGGGAGAGAGCCAGGGCTAGCAAGGCCTTGGCTCAGCCCCACACCCCCCAGGTCACTGGCGGGAGGGAGAGCGTGGGGCCAGATGATCAGCTGGGGCAATTCAGGGGGCAGGTAAGGTCTGCAACACCTCAGCCTGGCCCTCCCCAGCAGCTGGGGGGGGAGGGGGAAATCTGGGGCTGCCTAACCCCAAAGAGAGGATGGTTGGTGACTGTAGCAAGCAGGGGGCGTAGCCCCCTATTTTACATCTTGGAAAAAAGCACTATGGATAGGCCCAGCACGTCTGGTACGGCACCGTCCAAGACACCGGTACCGCACATGAGAGCCTATTCGGAGCCGAAACAGAGACCATCAGTACTGCCCGCACCAGCAGCACCGGATACACCTACGGCATCGGCCACACCGGCCAGCCAACATAAGGATCGCTCGGCACTGGAACAGCATGCACAAATAGCACCGATGTCCATGCCGAAGAAGCCCCACACCGACATGCCTCCACCGGATCATTCGGCACTGGTGCCGCCATCGACACCGAGTAAACCACACGCCTTGGCACCAACTCAAGAAGAGCGCATTACCGATCCCCAGTATGAAGCCACACGCCAACGGCACCGATTTCGCTGGGCTCCTCCATTCACTCTGTGCGGTCCCGCAGATCATCGAATGTCTCACGATCTCCGAGTGAGATGGGCATGGAATCAAGGAGTAGATTTTCCTCCTAACACTTCAGTCCAGCTCACAGACCTCCCTCTTGGCAACCCAGCTCAGTGCAATACACATACCCTCCTTCACCACCATCATGGCATGCACAACAGTATGGCTACCCATCACCACCATACGCCACTCAATGGCAGCCGTGGGGACAACACTCCAAGAAGAGCCACCACTGTGGCCCTTCTACTATCTCCAGACCACCACCAGCTTCACCTCCAATTACTGCTTCGGTAACTGAGCCGAATTCTCCAGCTCACTCCGAAATACAAGACTCCCTGTCAGAAGGGGAAGACAGATTCCCCTTTGCACAATTCCTTATCTTCACCCGATGAGGCAGTCATAGCCGAAACCCAACCATCCAGTGATGACTCAAGAAAATTTCAGGATGTTTTCAAAAGGGTGGCCTTAGCGCAAGAGCAAGACCTTTAGGAGGTACAAGTGAAGCAACACCAGCTCTTACTCACACTGCAACCTCCCACTACTTCCTGAATTGCACTCCCCATGGACGAGACTGTTATGGACCCTGCAGATAACATCTGGCAGACCCCTGCATCCATTACCCTGACTAACAAAAGGGCAGACTGCAAGTACTTAATTGCTCTTAAAGACAAGGATTTTCTCTTTACTCCTCCCCCACCAAACTCCTTAGTCGTAGACTCTGTTCGGCATAAGGGAAGACAGCCTAACCTCAAGACCACTCCACAAGACAGAGACCACAAAAAAGTCGACATCATGGGCCGCAATGTCTATTCCTTGGCCACCTTGCTCCTTAGAGTGGCAAACTACATGGCGATGCTCACAGATTATGACCATGCCAGTTATTTGAAACTGCAGGACTTGGTTAAGCACTTACCAGAACATGAGACAAACTCTACTTAAAATCATGAAGGAGGGCCACACCATTTCCTGTACTGCCCTACAGTCTGCAATGGATGTAGCAGACACTGTGGCCCGTATTACAGCATCTGCCATCATACTGCACAGGATCTTGTGGCTGCAGGCATCAGAAGTCCTGAGAGATTTACAACAGAAAGTTGAATATCTACCCATTGAAAAGACCAACCCCTTCACTGCTAAGACAGACGAGGTGTTACATTCCGTGAGGGACTCCTGTACCACCCTCAGACCCTGGGAATGTACATTCCCCCCTTTAAAAGAACAAGGTACTCAACCTACCAGAGGCCTAGGGACCCTTTCAGACAACAACCCAGATATGATTTCTATCAAAAAGAAAAGCCACAATGTTGCAGCACCAACAGCAACAACACTCCTCTGCGACCCACCCACCCATGGCGAAACAACAAATTTGAAAAATATGTCGACAGCCAGAAAACCACCCCAATACCACTTGGGCCCTAGTCTTTCTCAATTGAACCATTCTCTCCGAGATTTTTCCCATTGATGGACCAAAATCACATCAGACAAATGCGTCCTAGAACTGATCCAACATGGTTATGCCATCCCCTTCACTTCCTTGCCTCCTACCTACCCTCCCACTCCATCCCTCTTCAGGGACCTATGTCACTAAACCCTTCTCCACCAAGAAGTCTCGCACCTTCTACAGTTGGTGCCATAGAACAAGTACCACCAGAATTCCAGGGGTCGGGGCTTCTATTCAACCTACTTCCTAACCCAGAAAAAAAGTGGAGATTGGGCACCTATATTGAATTGGAGGAGACTCAACAAATACATTGCCTACCACCGCTTCAAGATGGTAACCTTAGCAACAATTATCCCCACATTGGATCAAGGGGACTGGCTTTTGGCTCTCGACCTCCAGCATGCCTACTTCCACATCACAGTCCATCCCGCACACACACGCTTCTTACGATTTCATGGTGGGCACCCAACACTACCAGTACCGAGTGTTCCCCTCTGGCCTCTCAACTGCCCCCAAGGTATTTTCCAAAACTCTGGTGGTTGTAATGGCCTCACTTCGGCGTCAAGATGTCATGATATTTCCATAGCTGGATGACTGCTTCATAAAAGGGTCGTCCCTTAAAGAAACCAAGGCCATGACCGACATGACCACGGACTCTCTGGTCAACCCCGGCTTCCATATAAACCATTCAAAATCCACGCTAGATCCAACCCAGAAATTAGAGTTTATAGGGGCCTTCATCGACACGGTGGCAGCAAAGGCAACTCTGCCCGAACACAGATTCAACATCATTCATGACCTTATCACAAGTGCACAATCAGCTCTGACCATGATGGTACGCGAATGACTTAAAATCCTTGTATATATGGCTTCTACAACATATAGCATCAAGTTGGCCAGACTCCACATGAGGGGCCTGCAGTCATGGTTGTCCACAACGTACAAGCCCTCCAGGGACCAACTGTCCAAAATAGTGACTATCTCACCACATATTCTTAATTTCCTTCAATGGTGGACAAATACTTGAAACATGCTAGACGGCGTACCATTTTAGCGTCCTTCCCCCATACTCACACTTATGACCAATGCATCACTCATGGGTTAGGGAGCCCACATAGGGATCATCACAGCCCAAGGCAAATGGTCCTTCACAGAACAAACTTTTCATATCAACCTCCTCAAATTGGCAGAATTTGCATGCCAACACTTCCAACCGTACATAGCTCACAAGTCTATTACTATAATGATGGACAACACCACCTGTATAGTACATCAACTGGCAGGGATATGCACGATTGCCATCCCTTTTCAGGGAGGCCATCAAGTTGTGGAACTGGTGCCTGGCACATCAGGTCACCCCGATAGCTTCCTACCTTCCAGGAGTACTCAATGACACAGCGGATGCCCTAAGCTGCACATTCCACAATCAACATGAATGGGAGATAGACCGACATGCACTCGCTCCACTATTTCACCAGTGGGGCCAACCAGACATAGACCTCCTTGCCACAAAAAGCAACAGGAAGTGTCACCTCTATTGCTCCAGAGCAGCCTTAGGGAAGTACTCCCTCAGTAACGCATTTTCTATCAGGTAAGCTGCTCCTCTCCTCTACTCCTTCCCTCCCTTTTCCCTCCTATGCAAGGTCCTTAACAAGATCAGGACAGACCAAGCTCGGGTCCAGCGTGACCCAGACAGACATGGTATCCTTACCTTCACAAGATGAAGATGGTAGACCCATATGCCTTTCCACCCCATCACGACCTCCTATTACAGAATTATGGGAGAAATCTCCATCCAGAACTCTACAAACTTCATCTTCACGCCTGGCTCCTTCATGGCTTCAGGATGCCGAAAATACCTGTTTAGAGCCAGTGAAATAGATACTGATCAATAGTAGAAGACAATCCACCAGAAGAACATACCTCTATAAATGGAACAGATTTTCTCACTGGTTTAAATGCTCACATATGACAAGTCCAGAATCCACTCCTCTCCCCATCCTGTTGAACTACCTATTATCCCTGAAACTGTCAGGCCTCACTCCTAGCACCATTAAAATTCATGTTGCTGCTATAGCAGCATTTCATTACGACGATCAAAGGGTTTCCTTCCTCGCAAACCTGATAAACAAAAGGTTCCTTAAGGGCCTTCAGAACACTTTCCCACATGTCTGCCCTCCAGATCCCGTCTGGGATCTGAAACACATTCTCAAAAGCTTGACAAAGCCACCCTTTGAACCACTAACCACCTGCTCTTGATCACATCTTTCAGTGAAAGTGTCCTTCCTTGTTGCGATAACTTCCAGTTGGAGAGTGAGTGAACTTGCCATGTTGATGGCTGAACCCCCGTACACGGTGTTCGCCAAGGACAGAGTGATACTCCGACCTCACCCGAAGTTCCTCCCCAAAGTTCCTTCTCTCTTCCACATCAACGAACCCATACGCTTACCTGCCTTTTTTCCTAAGCCGCATGCCAATCCAGTGCAGGCCCCATGGCACACTCTTGACGTCTGCAGAGCACTTGCGTTTTATGTGGACTGTACTTGAGCCTGGCAAGCCTCTCCTAGGCTGTTTTTGTCCTATGCAGAATGATCAGAGGATCTTGTAATGGATCTCCTCCTGTATTTGAACATGCTTTATATTATATGACAAAGACTTACCTGAAACCATCACAGCACATTCCATCAGGGCGATGTCTTCCACAACTGCCTTACTCATCAATGTCCCTCTTCAAGACATCTGTAATGCCGCCACCTGGTCATCTGACCACACATTCGCACAACATTACGCTCTCTCCTCTTCCGTTTCATCTTCTATGGCGGTGGGGCAGGCAGTACTATCCACAGTGACTACCACATGGCTCCAAACCCACCTCCGCGGGCTGACAACTGCTGTGTAGTCACCCAGAGTGGAGCACCTATGGGGACACCACTCGAAGGAGAAGAAAGAGTTACTCACCTTGTGCAGTAACTGTGGTTCTTTGAGATGTGTGTCCCCTTGGTGCTCCACTACCCTCCCTCCTTCCCCTGATTTGGAGCTCTATGCTCTAACGGGGAAAGAAGGAACGGAGGAGCCGCACCATGTGCACGCCTAACAGATTCCAACGGCATAAGGGGGTGCTATGGCACGTGCACGGCGTGGTGGAAGCTGCTGTAAAAGTCTCTGGTCGCCGATGCGAGGACGCACCAGCACCCAGAGTGGAGCACCCACGGAGACACAGATCTCGAAGAACCACCATTACTGGACAAGGTGAGTAACTCTTTCATCTTTTGAAAAAGGGTGGGGTTTTTTAAAGAACTGCGTCTAGACGGCAGTTTCATTTTCGAAAAGCCCTTTTTCGAAAGAATGCATGGCCAACATTATGCAAACGAAGCACAGGAAATTCAAATCCTGGCTTCATTTGCAATTTTGATCTGTATAATTTACATCCCTCTTTCAAAAGATGGATATAGTCTAGACATGCCCTCAGTGAATAGTTCCTCCGAGTTCAACTCTCTCCTCCTTAGGACCAGCAGACAAGTCCCTCCACTGCTTTGGTTTTGGCTCTCTGGTTTTCACCTGCCCTTTTCTTGGCTGACTCAGTCTACGATCTAAGACTCACTCACCAGGTCTCTTTTCTGTTTCTAGAGCCCAGCTGGACTTCTTTGCCTAAAGATGTGGTTCTCAAACCACGGTCTGCGGACCACTAGTGATCCACAGCCACCTTCCAGGTGGTCTGTGGTTGGAGCTCAACTCCTACCCCTTTCCTCCTTCCTGCGAGGTTGAAGCACTAGTGCCGGCTTCCCGTGGGTGACTGAGGGAAGGAAGAAAGCATGAGCCTTGCTGTGCATTTGACTTCCAGGGAAGAAATGGGGCCAGAAACGGCTCTGGATGCTGCCACTCCCCCACTCCTTCCTCCAACTCGGGGAATGGCAATGCATGGATGCACTTCCTGGAGGTTTTCCCTGCTGCTCCCATTAGCTGCAATCTGGCCAATGGGAGCAGTGGGAGGCCATGCCTAGGACATGGTGCCTGGGAGCAGCATGGGACACGAAGGCAAGTAAGGGCCCCCTTCCCCTCATTCCCAAACCCCAAGCTCCCACCCTACTTCTGCACTGCCCCCTGCTGAGACCCCATACCCCCAGCCTATTCCTGCACTCTCCCTCCTGCCCATAGAGTGCACCTTCCTTTGCACTTGCCTCCTCCCCTCTGTCCAGACATTCTACTCCCAGCTTGCTCCTGCACCCTACCTCCCACCCATACCTTGCACCCTTGCCCCTTCCTGCACCCCACATCCTGTCCAGATCCTGCACTGCCATCCCTATCCCACTTGCTGGCAGCCCTGTCTCACACACTGGGCCCTTCGTTTTTTACCTCACCCCAGTGCATAGGGGTGTCCACAATATCCACTAACCCTGGAACCCCAGAAGAGGAAATCTGGCCTATGGGAAGCTGAATCTCAATCCTCCCTGTCTCTCTTCCCCCCTCGCCCAACCGCCTGTAGGGCTAGAGAGCCAGGAAAGCGAGGTGTCTCAGCTGGGAAGGGGGCACATCAGTGAGGGTTGGGGATTTTTGGAGGGTTTTTTGCTCTTCACTTGTGTGGTCTCCAACTGATTTTTCTGTAGGTCAGTGGCCCCCGACCCAAAAAAGTTTCTCCACCCCTACCATAGATAAATAGTGATACCGTTGGACATAAATTAATATTTTACTTTATTTAAAATGAAGTTTGATAAACTAACATTAGAAAGTCTAAGTGCTTAATCTGTTTAATAATTTAAATTAGTATTTCCTGTCCTACTGGGTAAATTAAACTATTCTCGCTAGCTGCAGCACTAACAAAATGGCTCGAGTGTAATTATTTAAATAACGGCAACTTTCCATTATTAACTAGTGGTTCCATGGAAAGGTTTGCATACAGTGGAGTGGACCACAGGCCAAAAAGTTTGAGAACCACTGACCTAGAGGGAGGTAGCAAGACTCTCTTATGGGTCATTATTACCTGTGCTTGTCTCAGTCATGCAAAGACTATGAAATGTACTTAATTTTATGTGCTGTAACTTTGGTGGGACTACTCAGAATGCATAAGACTAATGTATTCATAAGTCTCTGGAGGATTGGGACCAAAACCAAGCACTGAACAAGGGATCAAAAAAGTGATAAAGGCAAAAACTTATTTTTATGAACATGTATCCACATTTTCAACAAAAATAGACATATATCATCTCCAGGTATTCCTGAAACTCACCTTCATGAAGTGGTTGGCTTTTTTGTAGGCATCAGGGAAGCAGTAAGCCTTGAGGAGAAGTATTGTGGAAGGGTTTGGGGAGGGCATTTCATGTATAAGAACTAGTGGGTAAGAAGATTTTGGAGAGGGGAGGGCTGGGGTATGGTGAGGACAGATGTGATATGAAAAAAGATGGAAAATAGCTTTTCCTCCCCATAACCCTTAGTCCTACTGTATAAAAATTATGAAAAGTGTGACTGGAGAGGCCTGAGGTGAAGCATATATATTTAAAAGGAATTGGGCCTTTAATCTTCTTTCATATATTGGCAAAAAAACTTTTATATGTTGATTATACTAGTGATATTCACAGGGAATGAACTGCATCATGTATATGGAATATTTTGTTGCCTAATTACTAGTTTATTTTTTTGTCAAATATGGACTGTTTTTTAATTTTCTTACACTAAAATAACTTTTTTTTCTCTTTTAGGGTATATTAAAATGCAAATCCCCATGTTATGAACTGAAGAAAGTTAGTCTGAATGTTACTAGCCCCTTTGAAACTGATGGAATATTCAGGTAGACAATATTGTAAAGGCAAGCTCATAGCTATAATATTATTTATATTTATCCTTTTCCATAATTTTCTCTTGTTTAAAAATGTAGTAAAATTGAAGTTAAATTATAGTCATTTGCATTGCCAAAATACTATGATAATAAAGAAGATAAATAAACCTTAATTGAAATCCATTGTAAGCTTTCATCTAATGGAGTTCAAGAACCCTGCTTATATTTCTGTGTTTGGCTGAGGTTCGGCAGAATTCCAAAGAGAAACAAACTATGTGAATAGGTTTTTTTCCCCCCCAATCTGCTTTATTCTGCTGGCTAAATGGCTAAACTGAAATATTCATACAGAAGAGAAAATATGCTTTTGCTCAGGGGCTCACATCACCATCAATTAATCTAATTTTCTCTTTTTGTATTCACAATATATGAAACATCTCCAGAGCTGCAAATGGTTTGCTAATATGTAGGAAATAGTATCAGAGGGGTAGCCGTGTTAGTCTGAATCTGCAAAAGCGGCGAGGAGTCCTGTGGCACATTATAGACTAACTGAAGTATAGGAGCATAAGCTTTCGTGGGCAAAGACCCACTTCGTCAGAGGCATGTAGTGGAAATTTCCAGAGGCAGGTATAAATATGCAGGCCAGAATCAGGCTGGAGATTACAAGATGGATCCAATCAGGGAGGATGAGGCCCACTTCTAGTAGTTGATGTGGAGGTGTGAATTCCAAGAGAGCAGAAGCTGCTTTTGTAGTTAGCAAGCCATTCACAGTCTTTGTTTAATCCAGAGTTGATTGTGTCAAACTTGAAGATGAACTGTAGCTCAGCAGTTTCTCTTTGAAGTCTGGTCCTGAAGTTTTCTTGCTGCAGGATGGCTACCTTTAGATCTGCAATTGTGTGTCCAGGAAGACTGAAGTGTTCCCCTACAGGTTTTTGTATGTTGCCATTCCTAATATCAGATTTGTGTCCATTGATTCTTTTAGGTAGGGACTGTCCAGTTTGGCCGATGTATATAGCAGTGGGGCATTGTTGGCACATGATGGCATATATTACATTAGTAGATGTGCAGGAGAATGTACCAGTGACAGAATGGCTGATCTGGTTAGGTCCTGTGATGGTGTTGCAGTAGCTAAAGAAGTTGCTTTCACTGCCCCACCATTGTGGCCTGATCTGAATCACCTAAGCAATCAGATGAATCAGTTCAGTTTCCATGTTTGTTCAGTCCTTAAGCAATCAGCATGAGTACCTGCTGTGGCTTTTAGGGTATGGAAATCTGTCTACCAGAAAGTAGATTAAGGCTACCAAATAAACTCATTTCACCTGGATCATTCTGTGGATATTGGATCACAACTATTTTAAATAACTGCAAGCTACAGGGGAAAGGTTCCATATCACATTATGAGTATTCTGAATCATACAGACCTTTCCTGGGAATTCATTTCCTTAACTAAGTATATGGCCCAGCAAATTTCATGGCAATGAAAAATGTATCATGGACTGTGAAATAAATAACAGAGGGGTAGTTGTGTTAGTCTGAATCTGCATAAACAATGAGAAGACCTATTGCACCTTAAAGACTAATGGATTTATTGGAGCATAAGCTTTCGTGACCCACTTTGTCAGATGCATGTAGTGGAAATTCCAGAGGCAGGTATAAATATACAGGTATATGAAAAGAGTAGCAATCAAGAGTAAGGCTAGAGATAATGAGGTCAATTCAGTCAGGGAGGAAGAGGCCCACTTCTAGCAGCTGATGTGGAGGTGGAAAGAGAAAGGGTCTGTCTACACTACAAAGTTAATTCGAACTAATGGACGTTAGTTCAAATTAACTTTCATAGGCGCTACACTAGTGCTCCGCTAGTTCAAACTTAATTCGAACTAGCGGAGCGCTTAGTTCGAACTAGGTAAACCTCATTTTACGAGGACTAAGCCTAGTTCGAACTTCCTAGTTCGAATTAAGGGGTGTGTAGCCCCTTAATTCGAACTAATGGGAGGCTAGCCCTCCCCAGCTTTCCCTGGTGGCCACTCTGGCCGACACCAGGGAAACTCGTATGCCCCCCTCCCGGCCCCGGACCCCTTAAAGGGGCACGGACTGGCTACGATGCCAGTGCCAGGTGCAAGCCTGCCAGCACCCAGCTAGCAGACCCTGCACCTGGTATGGCTTGGGCTAGCCACCCGATGCCCCCCAG